AAAACAGAGCTGTACCCACGGCAGTTGTCTCTTGGCGCGAAACGCATACCATGCAGGAGTCGCGGTCACTTCTCGCCTCTACCTTCGCTTCTCCCTTACCTAATCTCACTATTTTTTTCCCCCTTTTCTTTCTCATTCCTTTCCTTTATAACTCCTTTTCTCCCCATCAACATGAATTATGCACATTTGCAAAACCTATGGCTAGCAGACTAGACCACACATCATTCAATGCTCTCCGTGTTTAACATGTATGAGTTGTAATGCACTGATGCGATGCACTGCGCTGTATGTGCAGACGCACACACACACACACACACACACACACACACTAGACCACACATCACACACACCACCACACACTAGTCTATATTTATATCTATCTGTCTATATATATATATAGATATATAGATTTATAGATACATAGATTTATAGGTTGATAAATAAAGCTAAATAGATAGAGATAGAGATAGATAGATAAATAGACAGGCAAATACAGAGATCAATAGATGAATAGATATGTAGATAAATAGATGTTTATATAACATTCCTGAAAAAATAATCACATATATCCCAGTTGTTTTCCTACAAAATTCAGCTTTTTGAATTAACGATCTGTTTTTTGACTTCCAAACTGACCTTCTACAATTATTTTTCGCATCGTAAAACGTTGAAATAATGAAGAAATGAAGTTGCATATTCCTTTATCATATTTTTAACAACTATTTTGTTATTACCATTGTTTTACTATTGTTTTACATTTATTTAGTCTTGATATCGTGTAATGTCATTAATACTGTTTCTTTGTATCTTAGTTGCACCATGGATTTTTCACTTTACTTTGTTTGTCATGAATGACGTGAAATTTGTGTTTTGAAGTTACGTGAAGCTGCATAAATATAATTTGGAAATTTATTCAGCAAGACATGCTCAGGGTCACACACACACACACACACACACACACACACACACACACACACACACACACACACACACACACACACACACACACACACACACACACACACACACACACACACACACACACACACACACACACACACACACACACACACACACACACACACACACACACACACACACACACACGCACACACACGCACGCACACACACACACACACGCACACGCACACACACACACACACACACACACACACACACACACACACAGGGAAATTACACTGTCCACTGCAGTTTCCCTTTGTAAATAGTATGCCTAGGTTACCTCACCTGATTTTAGCTTTCCTTCATTCCTGGGGATTTTTTTTTCATGTTATTAATATCAGTATTATTTTCACTATAGACATATGATTATTAGAATGTTGATAACAATACTAATAGCAATAAAAATAAAGAAGAATCTTTCAAAAAATCGAGTAATTGACTGCTGATGATGCACATGTGGAGCCACCTGTGTGTAAAGGCAACATACAAAGATACTCTGGACATGGCTTGTCCTTTTGCCATCCCAGCTTAAGTGGGTTAAATTATGCCCTCAGGAAATTCACCTCTCAAGTGTATTTTTTCTTTATGGTTTATCCCCCACTAATATATTATCAAATAATTACATTATTTGATGAAACTGAACAATATCATACCTTTAACTTTTCTTTCACCATCTAATAAACATTGCTCTTCAATACTGATCTTCATTCCAATAACTTAACGAAATAAAAAACCTTACCACCAACTCAAACCAGGTTTCAATCAAAGAAGCAAAAATACACGAGAAAATTTTTATTTATCAAGTTAGAGAAATAGAACATCATTGTGGACTATACACTGTTCAGGAATTCATCATGACAACTAATTCCTAAGGCTAACACAAAGATGCAGCTCAAGATAATATCCCATTCAAACTGGCTTCAAACTATATTGCAAAATACTGTTGGAATGCTATGGCACCTATCAGTGTACAGTTATAATTCCTCTGTATAAGCCTATTCACCTTTCCCATATTTGCAAAAAGAAGATATGTAAAAAAAATCTGAATACTGTCAATTCCATTCTTTTTGTAAATACTGACAGGATTTCCAAGTAAAAAAAATCTAAAATATAATAATGATGGCAACATTTAATGAGTAAATATGAAATAACTAGAAAAAAGAATTTCCACTTCTAAGTCAAAGTAAAATCAACTGAATTCAATCAAAATTGAATTTCATATTCAGTATTAGATAATGGAAAAGGTTGGGTGAACATATCTATACATTATATGTACAAATTCGAAATTAATACCATATTTACATATTGATCCTGTGTTGTGTCCTAAAACTAAGTATTCTTATAAAATCTCTGCTCAGTGTGTGGTCTGCAAAATTTATCTCCTAGATAATCTAGGTATTTCAACCAGTTCAATGGAAATTTCTATGCTGCTTGTGTATGTGATAAAAGCCCTTTACTGTCTATACTGGGTGTTTCATTATGGAGGAAAACAAATCAAAAAGGTAAGTTTATCCACCTATAGGTATGATACATTATGTAATGTACTTGTGACAAACTGCAAAACTGTGTATGACAAAAACAAACATGAAATCAACTCTCGCTTGACTCAGCTTCTTGAGTCTATCAATCTTTCTGAAAACTATGCTTCACTAGAACTCTTGACTCTTGTTGGTGTATCTGTCTCAGTAACATAATATCTAATATTTTCTAATAAATATTTATTTTCATGTTACAAAGTGTTAATTATGCAAGGAATATTGCATTTTTACTGTTTTTCTTTTATAAAATATATCACCAATTCTAAAAAGCTGCCACAGGATTACAGTATATTTTCTGTGCCTGGTCCCTTGAGTACCAAAATATACACCAACAAGGTACCATGTAAAAGACATGGGCTATAAATTTGACTTCCAAAAACAAAAATATAATAAAATTAAGTAAAAGCTACTTTCCTTTTGCTAGAATTCAAATATACATCGGCAACCATTTAAGTAATGAGGTCATAATCACTGGACATATATATTTATTAGGAATGTACTAAAATAAAAGCTAATTCTAACCAGTTGTGGGGCTCACTGAAAGCTGATAATCACAACTAATCTATATTACAATGGGTGCCTGGCCAGCTACACAAGTTATACAGACCATAGAAATGTCATAAAGCATCATATGCCTCTATACCGACTTTCATTCAGACAAAATATATTGTGTAGTTTACAACACGAGTAATTCTTGAAACTTAATGTGAACTACAAGGTTCTTCTGTGTGGATAATACAACCTCTATCTTTATTAGACATTCTTGAATCCACCAGCACTTGAGCACCACACTCTCTGGCACTTAAACTTAGTGACTAAAGCTTTTATCTGGACTTAAAAAGCATTGTACAAAAAAATGAAGTAGTATAATCATGCATCCCTTCCACACAGAGGCAGTCAAATTGGAAATAAAGCATGCACCTGCCAATTTTAAAGGCATACAGCTTCGCATTTACATACATAAAGCTATGTGTGATAACTACCAATTCCATATGCAAATCTTGTAAGATTCAAATCCTTAAACCAAATTTGAGAAATTCTATGCAAAATAAGCTTATGGAGATATTTCATCATCATTTATTTTCATGGAAAATAATTAAGTACACAATAGATTCTTCATCCAACAAGTACTTCATGTAATTGTGCAATAATTCAGAAAACAAAATCTTTATATTTACATTACAATAGACCTTTTTTAAACAAAAGCACAAAAAATTCCTGCACCAATTAAATAACTTAATAAAAAACAATACATCAGTATTCTCAATGGCAGAAATGAGTGAACAAGACAGGAAATGTTAAAGGGCAAAACTTATCCTCATAAAAAAGCATCTTCAATTGAAGCATTACTAATGTTAAAATCATCAAAGTATCTTGTAAAATAACACTGCCATAAAGTTACTATACAGCAGGACTGTCTACAGTAATATAGTAACAAAACAGAAATTTTCAGAGAACTGTGCTTGATGCAAGATAAAAATAACTTCCATAAACAAGTTTTGTTTAAAACTGCACCAGATAAAATATAAGGCTGACTAAGTGGAATGGCTAATATTGAGTTTTACACACAAAGTGTATCTTTATTCATGATTTCCCTGGAATTTTTCATCTTCAGCATAAATTACACAGTAACACTAGTATTTTGCACTTTTTCACTCATAAAAAGGCACCATTATTCCAAATGTTTAACACAATAAATAAGTAGTTTTTGTTTATAAAATTCATTATTATGCAAGGGCACTAAAGCAGAGCTAGACTTCTGAAGCAAATATTCTTCACATAGTTTTACAATATGAATATAATATCATTACAGCAATGTTAATGTTAAACTTCCTTCCACATACAGTAGGAGTGCATGGCAGACACCAAACAATTATCAGTAGGTTATAGCTATGGTTATATCATCATAAACAGCCAACAATGAAAGAGAGCTTTTCAGAATCACATTGATATTGCAATCAGGACCTTGGTAGTCAGCAAAATAGAGGGTAAAAAGTAACTTTGGATATGATATATTACTAATTTTTAAGTTTACTGAAGGAAACTCTGAAGTTTTACTTGGCTCTGTAAATTAAAAAAGTAAAAATTTCTGGGAATTTTCTCATAGTATCTGCTTGATGACTACATCAAAGAGTATATTACACATTATATAAAACACATATAAAGTACACTGACAATAAAAGGTGCAATGGTTTTACTTAGGGTTGCATGTCATTTACATCAATAAATATTAGATTTACAGAAGGAAAATTAACATGGGTATAAAGGCCTTGTGTATATTGCAGTTTACTTTTCTGTTAGCATGAACTTTATACTGCATTTGGAGCTATAAACTTTATCTGAGGATTTTATACATATAATTTGCACAACTTTCTTTTGTACTGTTTATATTGTGACTCAAAGGCACTTGAATATTTATCTCTGAATTAATCAATATCCTATAAATTTTCTCCTAAAACCTGTTTCCTGTTACCATAGGCCTGCTCCATCAAAGCAAAT